AAATCGTAGATCGACATTCATGTGTGATAAGAAAAACAAAAACAAACAATAATATAAGTGAAGAAATTGGTTTGAAACAATAAATAGCAAAGAAATATTGAAGAAAAAAGTCATGAGTAAATAAATGAGAGCAACTATTAGTAGTACAAGAATAACAAAGCTTGATTAAAATGATAGTTAGCATGAATGAATAAGTTAAATAAAGAAGCATGAATAAGTATTAATAGTGCAACAAATAATAAATGAAAAAAAGGTGTGATGAAGTCTAGTAGAAAACTAGAATATTAATTAGTTTTTTTAATTTTATTTTTAATTAGTATCATTTTACATTATTTGGAATGTTTTTTGTTGAAAACATTGAATCATTCGATTGAACTCTTCTGGGTCACTCAAATGTTCTTTATTGATACTCATCGATGAATTACTTGATTCATTATCATTGCCACTATGAGTACATCGTTTACATCTATAAAAATATTCATCAGAATCTAAAATATTATGAAAATATAACTGATTAGTCTTAGAAGAAATATGACATTTTGTTGATGAATATATATATATTATATAGGTGATTCTCGTGTCTATTGTACCGGTTTTTTTTGAGAAAATGATCGAAAATAAAAGCAAACGGTCGAATTCAAAAGTATTATGAGCGGATAGAGAGGATACTTCGAAGTATAAAAAGTGATTTTGCGAACTATCAGTTTTTTCCTTCGATTTAGCGATCAGAAGATCTCTTGAAACTCAATAAGAAGATATGCATATTTTTTTAAACAAAAAACAAATGATATCATGAATGTAAGATAATTTTATAGGTTTTAAAGCATCCACTTACTAATCATATATGGATTGTTCGAGAGATTTCTGAAAATCATACGGAGTAGGTTATATAAGAAAGTAATTTATTCAGATTCCGTCACGAATAGGCTTTTGTGAACATCATTCTTTGAAAATCAGTCTTCACAAAAGATTCTCAAATCGTCAACTTGATTAGATAATTCGTATGAGAAGAAATATTTAGTATAAAACTCCAGCTCAATTTGAACAGGTGTTAAAATTGTTTTAACTATCTTTTCTTTTCTTTTGAGAAGTTAATAACTACTATCCATTTAGAAATATAGTGTGCTCCACTGTTTTTTCGAATAACTTGAGAACGCAAACAGCTAGAGACCTGCGGTCTTCACCAATCGAAAGAGGAGACGATGGGACGTCTTTTGTGTCCAACATTGTATAAGATAAAGTCATTATAAAATCAGTCATCTCTGCAAAATATTCACAAAAAATGCATGAAAATGATCTGCCATTCGGATGAAATTTTCACAAAAAGTAGGAAAATTTACTTAAAAATTAAAGGAAATCCACAGTTTCCATACAAGTAAATAGACAATTTCATTTGTTCAACATTAGAATGTGCGAAGGTAACCGTTCAAATTATATCTTGAATTATAGATTTGAAGTTCTTCTGTCTAGATCACATGTCAAAACCAAACTTTCATCGGAATGACAGATGGTTTTCATGTATTTTTTCTAATATTTTGCAGAAATGACTAATTTTAAAATGATTTCGTCTTATGCAATATTGAAGAAAAAGAAGTTCTTCGGCTTCCTCTTTCGATTGGTGAAAATCGCCGGTCTCTAGCTGTTCACGTTCTCCAGTTATTGTTTATCGCTGATCATAGAAATGCACAAATTCTAAAGTTTTTACTCAATGAATTATCTGGCAATGGTGTTATTGTAATAGCAAATTTAATTTTTTCTCTTCATGTTTATGTCGATGATGATAATAATCAAGCAAATATCTATGTAGTACTTTCTGTTAACAGTCGTATTGAAAAATAGACAATACGAGCATCTAAAGGTGAACAAATTAGTGAAGAATGTAACAATTGTGTAGATGTAAGAGTCGATAAATCTAAAAATGTTTACATATCTGATACGATCAGACATCGCATTATCAAATGGTCATCTCCAACTAATCAAACAATAACAGTTGCTGGTAAAATAGATGAAACTGTCTCGACAGCTGAATTACTTTCTCTTTTTCAAGGTATCTACGTCACTCAAACGAGTGACGATATTTATGTAGTAGATACAAGTAATTCTCGTAAATCAAAAATGATCAAAAAATGCTCACCGAGGTATTACTGCAGGTGAATCAAGAAATGGTACTGCTGGTAATGATTCTGTCTCTTTATATAATCTAATCAATATAATTATTTGTTGATGAAATAATAAATGTTATTTATGTTGCTGATACATTTAATCATCGAATAGAACGTTAGTTACCTGATACAATCAATGGTGATATTATTGGTGATGTAGGTGATATGTAAAATAGTTAGATTTCAGAGATTTATTTGAGTTATTTAAAGTTTTGGATACTTCTATCGATCGTATATAATATATTCTAGTTGAACTCGAAGAAAATTGTGAAATATTGATCTTGATTTTCGAAATGATAAATATATTTCTCAATAATGTATTTTATTTTAAATAATAATTCATCATAGGTCAAGACAATGGTTCTGATCAATTGAATCAATCGACTGATTTTACGTTTGATAGTAATGGCAATCTTTATGTTACTGATCTAAAGAATAATCATACTCAATTATTTCGATTAATAGAAAATAATCTGTGTTCTTCGACATCGTCAGGTTAGTCTTTATTGCAAAATATATTCAATATTAACAATGTTTTTTTGTATGCATGATTTTTCTTGTTTAATAGCAGCAATGTCATCGAACATGCTATGTTTCTTGCCATCTCATCAAATATGAATCAATTTGTATTGAATTCATTTTGTTATTCTACTACTACTTTAGTAAATATGATTCGGAAAGAATGATTTAGATGTTTTCTTTCGAAACTATCGTTTTATTCAATTAGAAAAAATACCAAAAGTTCAAAAATTACGGTTGTACCTGTATTTCCTCATATTCATTTGCAAGATTAATCAATTTTTCCATTTTTCAAAAAAAAGAATCTGTAAATATCTGTTTAATGCTGAATTGTATGAATTGCGATTCGATCTGTTTACAATATGAATAACAAGAATGATATTACACTCATAAGACATAGAGAATATAATGAAATTAATTGTTTATTTTCTAGAATGATCAATATACGAAAGATGAAATACGTCTTTACATATTCACTTATTATGCTCGAATAAATAATATGTAGAAATGTATGACAGCTAATCATCCTTCCGTATGACAATCTTTCATGAATATATCAATTGATAGATGTTTATTATTTGTATTTCATTTTCTTTTGTGTTTTTCTGAGTTTGACTGATTAAAAAAAAGTTAAAATATTGGTTATTTAGTCTCAAATGAACAATTGAAACGTCTGCACAATGGTAAGAAATCTACAATAACCTTTCACGTATATTTATCTTTGGATGGTCGGTACGTTTCGAGTACGAAATACTTTCTGTCATCACAACTTATAAAGATTTACTGTTCAAGTCTTATTAAGAACAAGTGATTGTAAATTGTATCAATGGTTGCTCAAATGAATACAAGATTTTATTCATTCTGTTTTTTTGTTCTTACTTTTTTTCTTCATCCTTCTTCAAACATAATAAATGATAGCAAATAGCATTGATCTCAACAATTGAACTAAGTCTTTTAATAAGTTTTTCTATTTCTTTTTTATCGGAATATCATATTTGAAGTATTCTCTTTCGGACAAGTAACGCCCCTTGTTACGACTCCCTTAACCCTTGACTTAATGTTCAACTCTTTTTGTATAACATATTAATTTACAAACCCAATAAGAATCTATGAGGTTTTTCATTTCAAACTGAATTTCAGAAAAAAAATCACGCTCACTTCTTTGAAACAACAGGAGACTAGAGAGACTAAAAACGTCTGTTTATCGATAAAAGCCTGAGGTAGAGAATCCAGTATGTTATGTGATACATTAAGTAGATCAATCTTTTACTGGTTAAGCCAAGAATTTTAGTCAATCGTTCAGGTCAAAAAAAGATCCAACTGACTCTAAGTATGGCTTATCAGATCGAATATATCATGTTACTCAAATACTTTTTAAAATACAAAAAGTATATTGTCAGAAATTTGAATTCATTTCCTTTGAAATAAAGTAGGATAAACATTTTTGTTTTTATTAAATATTAAAATGCAACCAAGTATAAAAGCAAATAGAACTTGTCCTTTGAACTTTTTCTTTCTATTGCCATAAAATACTTGAAACAATTAAGTTAATCAATAAAATTTGCATATATACAACGATGTCATTTACCATAAAACATAATACTTGTAAAAACAAAACTACTGCCACTTTAATTAACTTTGACAATAATACGATTATGAATTATCATGTGTGTTTTTTTTATTTTCAATGAAGTACAATATATATATATATATATATATATATATTTTAAGATGACATTGTCAAATTATTACTTAGATATATTAAGAATATTTATTTTCAATGATTTTGACGACTTCAAGAATTTCTTTAATAATAACATGCCGTGCATCTTGAAGTTCAATATATTCAGATTTAAATTTGTCAGCAATAAAACATTCTTCTTCTATTGGCATAGAGTGGATCAGTTGGTAATTGAAATTGAACAATGTATTGTATATTTTCATGTATATCATTTTAATTCCTATTTAAGAAAAAATTTTAAAACAAACCATGATCAATCATAATATAAACTTACTCTTTCTCGTTCATTATCAACACCAGTGTAACATATTGAAACTAAAATAACTCTATGTACTTTATCAGTTTCAATTAATCTTATAATAACTTTGATAACTCGAATTATATTGGATTAAAATTGTATTTTCTATTAACTTTAAATTGATAATTAATATGATTGACGTGTTGCATATGAATCAGGCATTTCTTCAAGAATAATATTAAAATATAATAATGATTTATTTTATAAATCTTAAAAAAAAGACTAGCAGAAAAAACCGTAATATAAAAGATGTTTCTTTCTTTCTTTTTTTTTATCTTAACTAAGATCTTTTCTCTTGTTGAATAACATTTAAATAACATGAAAAAAGTTCTTCACCTTGTTTAATTGGTCTTAAAGAAATAAGTACAGTTGATGGCATTCCTTTTTCTTCATTATCTATATCTGCATATCGAACATTTGGTACAAAACGATATAAATCATAATCATTATCATCAAAATAAAAATCAAATTCATAATATGTTACATTCGGTAATCCATTAAATGGAAAATGATTTATATAATGTCCAAGTGTTAAAGGATTTTTATGTAAAAAAATATCATTTGAAAGCCATGTTCGATCATATAAAGGATATCGAGCATGACATGATAAATAAATTGAACGTGATATACCTCGATCACGTCCATCAATAATTAAATCATCTTTACGTGAAAGTAAAAATGTATTTCGTATTGATGGTAAAAGAAGAGGATCAATATGACGACGATATATTGTTCCAGGATATATAGCAACTAATTGTCCAGCTTTAGTTATTTCACCATAATCAATAAAAATACCTTGTGCATGAGTTTGAGATAAACTTTTATTTAATGAAAAATTCATTTGTTCTTGTAAAATCATTCGAGGAGATTTATTTGATTGACAATTTAATAAACAATTAAATAATTGAGATATTTGTTGATGAAGAATATTTTGATCAATTTTATTTTCAATTGTACGACATAATGATTGAACTTTATCAATTGTTTCATTATTTAAATAAGATGAACGATGACCAAATAAATATTTTAACATCTAAATTAAATTTTACTTTTTTTTTTTAATCTTCTATTAAAAAAAATTATTTTCAATCGATTTATGAAACAATTTCTTTTTCAATATTTATAGTTTATTAATAACATAGATCATCGATTTTTAGTAAGGTGCAAGCAATTCAAACTTCAAGTAAAATTTTTTTTTGGCTTCTTTACACATTATCTGATAGAACTCGAGTTGCTGATCACGAATATCAGGTCCTTATTCTCAGTGAAGACTTTCTTTCAGTCCAAAAATCCGAAATACTCGAAAACTGATATTTTTATCAAAAACAGGTATTTACCGTAGAAATGTGCAAAATTTTCTACTTCGTTCTTATTTTAAGCTTCTGAAAATATTTTTTTAAGATTCAGCATCAAAAGCTGAGTCTAGAAAAGTTGTTAAATAGACTCCAGACCTAAAACTCTACTGGCAGTGGCGCTTCGAATTGTGTCGACTATGATACGTATAGGTCGGTTTTGTAAATCTATCTAGTTTTTCCACATAAATGATAGAGACAATGATTTTATCTCATTCTATTCGCCACACCACTGGCTACAAAATTACACATCCTTTTTTTTCCTTTTCTTTCTTTTATCGAGAAAAGACGCTTTTACTGGTTCCATAGCCGTTCTAGGCGGTATTCAACGGTTTTCGAATTCAAATAAGACTTTTTGTGAAAAACTAAATACAGATTCGGAAATAGCACAAAAAAGTGAGTCAAATGAAGTATCTTTCAAGTTAATTTGACAACTTTCAATTTTTCTCATTTTTTCAGGTGTCGTCGGAGGACTAAAATTTTTGTGAATGTGTGAAAAATTGAAAGTTGTCAAATTAACTTGAAAGATACTTCATTTGACTCACTTTTTTGTGCTGATTTTGAATCTGTATTTAATTTTTCACAAAAAGTCTTATTTGAATTCGAAAACCGTTGAATACCGCCTCGAATGGCTATGGTACTAGTAAAACCGTCTTTTCTCGACAAAAGAAAGAAAAGGAAAAAAAAGGATGTGTAATTTTGTAGCCAGTGGTGTGGCGAATAGAATGAGATAAAATAATTGTCTCTATCATTTATGTGGAAAAACTAGATAGGTCTGCAAAATCGACCTATACACATCATAGTCGATACAATTCGAAGCGTCACCACCAGTAGAGTTTTAGGTCCAGAGCCTATTTAACAAGTTTTCTATACTCAATTTTTTATGCTGATTCTGAAAAAAATATTTTCAGAAGCTCAAAAAACCAAAGAAGTAGAAAATTTTGTACATTTTTGGGATAGACACCTATTTTTGATAAAAATGGCGTTTTTCGAGTATTTCGAATTTTTTGACCAGAAGGAAGCCTTCACTGAGGCTACGGACGTGATATCCGTGATCAGCAGCTCAAGCTCTATCAGATGATGTATAAAAAAGCCGAAAAAAAATTTTTACTTCAATTTCGCTTTGCGTGCACCTTCAATTAAAGAAAACAAGATAACTAGTCAAAAACATAAGACCAACGTGTTTTTCACTTTTTTTTTCTACGATGCCAGACATTTGACTCAAATCCAAATAGTATCTGGTATAGACTATGAAAGAAAATTTCTCAAGTTTTTTATAACTTTTTAACGAAAGATTGTAGGAGATGCTATGATTCTTTATTTTAGTCAGGATTTTGTGCTCTTTAAGATGATATTTTTCAAAATCAATTTTTAAACAGTCTTCTAGAGATCTGAAAACTACCATATTTGGTTATTGAGATATCTTCCTCTTTTAATTCATCGAAATAATTTTTTTTGATTATTCATCCATTCTTAAAATTCATTAGATAATTATATCATGAATAATATTTATTAAAATAATAATAACAAAAAAAGAAAAAGAATTTGAAATCCAACGAAAATTACAGATAATGCATAAAACGAACTATACTCTGAAGTTTTTTTTAACATTCTTTTTTTCTCATTATCTATTACAATTAAGCAGCACAATATATGCAAAAATAATATTAAAGAAAAAAACAAATGTTGTTCTATTAATTATTGTTTAATTGTATTTTGTCACAATAATTTTCTTTCTCTTATAATAACTTCTATAATCTCTATTCTTATTGTTGAGTTTTATCTTACAATATATATATATATTTGTTTTTTCTTCTATATAAGGAAGAAGTCGAAAACATCATACAAAATAATAATCATATATTGTTCATCGACTTTGATGTATATGTAAAATTGATAAAAAATATAGAAAAAAAAAATTTTTTTAGTTCGTTTTTTTACTGATCTATATTTATATCAACTAAGATTTTATTTTGTACAACAAATGAATAGAATTTTTCTTTTCTCTTAACCAGGTGTCAACTCTCTCATAAATATAGTTCTTTTTGTTTTGCTTTGAATACAGATTTTCAAAAAAAAAGAAAAAAAAGCCCAATATAAGCTCATCCTCTTCGTCTTCTTTTTTTTTAAATATAACTTTTCTCTTTCTTTAATAAGCACAAACACACATCGAACTGGTTTCCTTTTTTCGTAACATAAATACATAAGACTGAAGACAAACTACAGTAGTAGAAATAAATAAAGATAGAGAGAGCGAACAAGAAAAAAAAACACGAAAAGAAAAAAAGAGATAGTGGATAGTACAGAATAATAGATATATGAAATCAAGTAAACGTTTAATAAACAAGAATGAGAGCGCAAAATAGATGAAGGAAAAAAAAACCGAAAAGAAAAAAAAACGAAAAATCACCAAACTTTGCTTGTTTCTTGGTTTACTATCTCGAATGCGCACGCATATATATATATATGATATATGATAATAAAAGAAGAGAACGAGAGGTCGAACATGTCACTGTTTTAAAAACAACAACACAAATGAGAAAAAAGAGAAAGAGAATAAACAAAAAAAAAAAGAGAGAAAGAAAGAGGGAAAGAGACAATGCTCAATGCATATGAGCTTACGATTATCGTGTTGTTGTGTTCGAAAAAAAAGAAGAGTCGACCAGCGAACATTGGTATTGGCATCATTTTATCAAAGAATAAATATATCGAAAGAAAGAACAAAAATCAAACGAAAAGAAGAAGACTACACTTATTCCCCGGTAACGCAATGTCGCTGCCGAGAAACGAAAAGAAAGAAAAAACTACTAACTAACTACTATGCTTTGAGTGAATGACCATTACCGCCTAATGGCGAGTTTGGATGATAGAAATTATAAGGAGCCGTTGCATGTGCATTAGCTGAACCAAAGTAGAAAAAACTACTATCATTTGAATTTGAACCACCACCAACACCACTATTACCAACATTATTCGATACATTTGTTAATGCATAATCATCATCGTCAAACTAAGAATATTTCCAAAAGAAAAAAAAAATAATTAAATATAATTAATAAGATATAAAAGACATACACTACTGGCATATTGATGATTATTATGAAATACATTCTCATCATTACGTATTTGTTGTTGTGGTTGTTGTTGTTGTTGTTGTTGTTGAGGAAATATCATTGTTGATAATGATTTATAGGATTGTTGTCGATTATTAATTAATGTATTTGTTGATAATGTTGAAATAGGATTAGTTGTATTATTATTATGATTATTATTATTCAATAGTATATCATTAAATAAACCATTATTATTTGTACCACTTAAAAATGTTTGTTGTTGACGATTTAAATTATTTGTATTATTATTTATTGTTGGAAAATATAAAAGATTATCATCATTTTCTAAAATATATATATATATATTTGTAATAATAAAGGAAAAAAAAAATTTCGAATCAACATACTAGCTGCAATAGTTTGTAAAACTGAATAATTACGTTGATTTATATTTGAATTATCTGTTGAATTATTTCCATTAAGTGGTATTACAGATGGTAAACGTAAATCCTTTGAAAATAGAACATAAAAAAAAGATTTTTTTTTGTTTTGTTCGAAATTCTAAAATTTAAATTTACTTCAATATTAGGAAAATGAGTTGTTGTTGTTGTTTGATGATTATTATGTTGATCTGACAATGATGAAAAACGTGAGTCTGTATAACTAAAATTGAACAAATAAAATCGAAATTATCTGCATAATACAAAAAATAAAATTATTATTTTTATACTTATTAGTACGTTGTTGCATTGGATTTGATGATTGTTGTGCAATATTTGTATTTGTTGTTTGAATATCTTAATTAAATAAATATTTTAATTAAATAAATATTTTATTACGTAAATATAATTACAAGGTCGAGATAATAATGATTGTTGTTGTTGTTGTTGTTGTTGTTGTTGTTGTTGTTGAGCGATCTAAAATTATAAATAAAAACAAAAGAAAGTTAAGTAAATATGAAACCATAAAATATTTGAGAACATCAATGTTGTATTCGAAACAAATGTTCTCAAAATATTAAGAGAAATAATTGATGATAAGAACAATATCTGCATCTGATTTCAATCTACTATGATGAACATCGTTCACACTGTTCAAAAATTCTTATTATAAGGACTTAAATGAGAAGTTTTATAATTGATTTCGAATTATTGAAAGTTTTTGAAAAGGTTATATTGCAGAGAAAATGTTATGAATTGAAATGAAAATTTCTCTAACCATTGATTGTGATTGATGATATGGCATCGAAGGATTTTGTTGTTGAAAACGATAGAATGTATTTGCAGCAAACGCAGCAGCAGCTGCAGCAGCATTATTTTGTTCAAGAATAGCTTGAGCAGCTGCTGCAATCACCGGAATTTGACTTGAATTGTTATTATTATTATTATTATGATTTGGTTGTTGTTGATTATCATAGGATGTTGATGTTGGATGTCCATGAATTTGAAGAATTGATGGAGGAATTTGTGATGGATGATAATAATGACTAAGACAAAAAAAAAAAAAAAGAAAATTAAATTTCTAAAATAATATAATTACTGATGATGATGTTGTTGTGGTATTTCTTGAATAACATGTTGTTGTTGTTGTTGTTGTTGTTGTGGATTCCATAAAGGTAATAGTGTTGG